GGCCGTGCTCATCCACTCCACTGGTGTCCGCAGGGAGAAGCCGCTGGGAGCTGTGACAGCAGCTGGTGGCCCTACGACAAAAGTGAAGATCGCTGTGAAGAAGCTGCGTGAAGCCGTTTCCCCCCGCCCGGCAGCTGATGTGGCTTTGGCTGGAGACGGAGCATCCCGCGTTCCTCCAGCCCGGTCAGCAAACGAGGCTCCCTGCGATGGGGTCACCCCCGGTACCCCTGGTACCCCCGGCAGCGCGGCTCCAGGTGCGTGATTTACCGTGGGCGGGTGTTCAGCTTAGGTTTGCCGTCACATCACTGTGTTTTTAGTCCTGTACTAGTTTTATAACCGAGGGAATAATTTTTGTTTGCTGGCACTGGACGTGTCAGCATTTTTTCAGCACTTTTTCAGCATTTTTTCAGCACTTTTTCAAAAGCTGTGTTTGTTTCTTTCTTTGTTTGGGGTTTTTTTGTTTATTTTTCCTCGTTTGTTTGTCCTCAGACTTTGTTTTTGTTTTTTTGCACGTGAAAGGCAGGTTGTGCAGGGTAAGGTGGTGGTCAGTCAGAGCCTCCTCCCTTAACAGAACTCCATTCTTCACTCCAGGTTCCTAACCCAATTAAATTAGGCAGTTATCTTCATCAGAAAAATCATGACTGTAATAATGACATTTTGCAAATAGACTGGGCAGGAAGGTTTTAGGCAGTGTCAGAGGATGAAACAGAAGAAGAAAGTTAACAGGAAGAGCTAAAGAAGACAGTTAACAAGATTGATGCCTTTCCAGTCTGTCCCAGTTTTTAATGCCATTTGTAGCTCATCTTTTTAGACACATCTCTTCAATTTTACACCCAAAGTGTCATCAGCAGGCAGATCTGTGCCTAGCAGAATATTGCTCCTGCCAACAGACAGCTCTGAGTGTTCCCAATATTTGCACCTCCTTTGTGTTTTCATGGAATTTTGTGAATTATTTTGTGGTTCTCTACTAGAAGAGAGATCAAAAGTATTTTAAACACTTCTTTTTTAAAGATGATTTTTTTCTGGAGAGCTTGAGCTAGTAGATGTTTGAGCTCTAGCTGTACAAGCTTACCTTCTTAAAGGAGTGTTTATTGGATGCTTGAAAGGTAAAAAGTATTAAATACAGGCAGTAGGCATTCTGAGAAAGTCATTTAGCTCTGCTGGTTTTTTTATTTGCAGAGTTTTTGCAGGTTTTCTGGACAATATGAGTTTAATTGCTGATCAGTTAAAAAATTATTCAAAAAACTTTTAGGAAAAGCCAGGTTTTCCTGCTAACTACCATAACTTTAAATTTTACTTGTCAAAATTATTTTTCTTCCCTTGTAGTCTCGGAAAAGCAAACAAACAAACCTTACTCCTCCTAAACCCCACTTGCTCTACACAAACAACATATGCAGGTCAACTGCCTGTACCAACAGAGCTCACATTGATGAGTAAACAAAATGAAACAAAGAAATTGCATCATTTTCTGGAACTTCTTAAAAAAACCTCTTTGTAGTAGTATTAAGTAAATAATTTTGTCTGTCTTTACTAGAATTAGACTGTAGGGATGTACCATATACTCTTCAGATTCAAAACTGACACAATCTGTGCTGCTTCTCAAGTCAAACAGAATATTCCATTTTTTTCTGTAATACGTATATCAGTTACAGTCTTTGGAGTTTGGGGAGGGGATTTTAGTCTTTTTGGGGTCAAGGTTCAAGCAGCTTCAAAAATGTTATTTTTATAGTGTTAGGAAGACAGACAAGTCTCTGACACAACTAAAATATGTACTGTCCTCAGTGTCCTTCTTCTTTAAGGTGCCTTATTGTATAGTTATAATTGTCTCTCTAGACAAGTAGCTTTCAATATCCCTGTGGTCTTTAAGACTTGAATTTGAGCTAGAGATTGTTGATTTTTTTTAATACTCTGTTTTCCAGTGACTTTTTCAAATGTTGTAAAACAAGTTTATAATCTAGGCTGACATAATTCATTAACATTTGTAAGCTTTGGCGTGGTGTCTCTGGTCATTTTTGTTGTAAAAGTCATTGCATTTCGATAATCAAAGCTACAGGCAGAGGAAAGGTTGAGATTTGGGTTAGTCAAGGTACAGTGAAAATGCATAGAAAATTGTTATGACCACAATAAAACTGCTTTTATTTTAGGAGCCTGGAGTGATAAAGGACATCCAGAACATCTGCTTTCAGTAGAAAATTCTACAGAGCCCATGTTTTTGTCACAAATGGTAAGAAAAGTTACTGTTGCTTCTTGCAATCCCAGACTAAGAGAACAGTGTTTTTCTCAAGAAGTTGTAGCTTCTGGAAAAGCAGAGCAAATCTTTGGCTCAGCTCCTGCACGATAACTGTGCAGCTGCTTTCCTCTTCTCCTTAATGTGATATTGATGCTGAAGTTGGCTTTGTTTACCTGTTGCATAGGGCCTACAAGAAAGCTGGGGAAGGACTTTTCATAAAGGCACTTAATGACAAAACAAGGGGAAATGGGTTTAAGCTGAAAGAGGGGAGGTTTAGTTTAGATATTAGGAAGAAGTTCTTCACTGTGAGGGTGGTCAGACACTGGAACAGGTTGCCCAGAGAAGCTGTGGCTGCTCCTCCCTGGAAGTGTTGAAGGCCAGGTTGGATGAGGCTTTGAGCAACCTGGTCTAGTGGAAGGTGTCCCTGCTGATGGCAGGGGGGTTGGAACTGGATGATCTTTAAGGTCCCTTCCAACCCAAACCATTCTGTGATTCTATAAATACCAAGGTATGGTTTTAAATTTTAGTGTAATTCTTCCTTTGGAAAGGTGGTTACATACAGCATAATATTTGTTAGAAAAACTGGAAATTTTTTGTAGTTTTTTTTCTCTTTGTGTCATAGATAATGAAATGGACATCAATTTGTATGGAATGTTTTAATACTTACAACTAAAATGTTTCTCTTTGTGTCATAGATAATGAAATGGACATAAATTTGTATTTCCTTGTGATTTGTTTGTTGTATCCTACATACAGTGGAGACTGGTCTCTAGAGCATCTGTGCTGTAATTAGCATGCATGAGGATAAAATTAACCCGTGCTGTGAAACGATTGCACCAAAGGCTCTGCATGGCTCAAAGCAGACCTAGGGAGCTGAACAAAAGTCTCAAATAAGGTTAAATAAGAGATTTTTACATTCCTAACTTGGGTTCTGTGATTCCCCACAGACTTTGATTATTCATGGATTGCACTTAAAGAAAATTCATCTCTGTCCCTTCAGTTCTTCAGTGTTAGGTGTGCTTAATTCTGTGTGTGTGGCCAATCCTGAATTGTTTGAGATGAGTAACTTGTATAAATTTAAACATGTGTAGTTTCACTACTACTTCTTTGTCCATAAGTGAGGAGAATACACTTAATCAGCACTTAGAATACTTACTTTTACTTTGAATTGTGTTTCTATTTTTTTTTTGTCCCTAAAATGTCATGAGAGTTCTTGACTGCAAAGTCCAGATGATTCTGTGGTAGAAGTCTTAACATGTTTTGTTCCAGGACCTTGTGTTAGTGTGTGGAGGTGCTTCCATTTGTGTATTCAGCAATTCCATCTGCTTCTAAAGTGTTGGCTACTGATACCAGAGGCTTTGACATACACTTTTCTGCTCCTCTTGTTCTGAAGGATTATCCTAGAGAAGCTGCAGTACCAGAAGATCCTTCACTGCTACTGGAAGACAGCAGAAGTCCCGAAGGTAAGACACACTGATGTACTGCTACAGCCCTTGTTTTTGTAACAAAACTGATTAATTAGAGGAAAAGGGAGTTTTAATTTTGTCTTAGATATTTTTCTTTGGCATAGAAATTTTTCAGGGAAAGTATTAAAAAGTTTCTTTGATAAAAAGAGGATAATTGTGATTTATGTTCTTCAGTTTTGCAAATTTTACTTCAATCTTGCTGGCATTACACTAGCTTTGTAGGTCTTGTGATTAACTGAGAGGGATTTCTGCCACTGCACCAGAAATTTTAGATTCCTTTTGCTAATTGAACTCTTCATGCCTCTGAAGAGAATATTTGGGAATGGGTAGAATTTGGATGCATTTGCCTGTTGGGAGTAATGTGGTTTGTTCAGGCAACAGATTCTTCACAGCAAAATTGTACATGTTGTTGAAATAACGCTTTGTGTCTACCTCTAAAATAGATGTTTTGTGTCAGTCAACCCAACAAAGTTTTTTTTATGTCCTTCCCCACAGATTATGTTTTTATTTCTCAATATGCTACTGGTCAGAAAGAGGCTTTGAGAGCAGTGTTAAAACAAAAGTAAGTATATGTTGTTGTTAGTGTCTCAGCTGTTCTGTTTCTGTGCATGTTACACTACTATACTGCTACTTCAGTTTCTGCCAAAATGTGTAGCTGGTAAGGAAAAAGTGTTCTTCAGTGTTCTCTGTTAGTGTTCTTTTTCTGTCTACGAAGATGTTTTCAAGTTATTTCATCATTCAGAGCTCACTGGTGAATCTTGTTTATTTTACATATTTTTGGTAATGCCTTTAGACTGTTTGAATTAATGATTTAATGATACAAGAGTCAGGTAAGATCTGCTCTGATAGATGGTTTATTTCATGCCAAAACCATGTAATATTTTTAAAGACAGATAAGGACACGTAGTGTTTATCCATGGGCTGGAAATCTTGAAGATCAGAAATTTAGTTGGACTTTGCTACTAGTACATTGAACTTTGCAAAATATAGCTTGTAAACAAATTCTTTGTTGTGGTTGCAGTCATCACAGGAAAATGCCTTTTATATTAGAATCTGTAACATAATCCTGAGAAATTTTTCATGTCATGATAAAAGATGAGAATAAAATTGTTTCTTAAGTGTCAAGAGCTTCAAGGAGAAATGCTTATATAAATAGTGGTATTAATGCTACATGTGGGAAATCATTTGCTTGGAGGGGATATGGGGAAAACAATGCTATTTACAGGGACTTGTTTATTTTTGTAGAACTCAAAATACTCCTGTACTTAAGGAGGTGAAGGTACAGCTCTTAGGAAATGCCTCCACAGAAAAAAAGGAAAGTGTTTGTCCTGACAGCAGGTCAGCACACAGGGAAGCTGATTCTGCAACAACCATTGCAGCAGCAACTGCTGCTGCAATTGCTACTACAGCTCCACTTCTCAAAGTGAGTAAGTAGCTTGTGGTAATCATAGAGTGTTGTGAGTTGGAAGGGACCCACCAGGATCATGGAGTCCAGCTCTTGCATAGGACAATCCCAAGATTCAGACCATGTGTCTGAGGGCCTTGGCCAAATGCTGCTGGAATATTGTCAGGTTTGGTGCCATGAGCACCTCCCTGGGGAGCCTGTTCCAGTGCTCCACCACCCTCTGCCTGAAGAACCTTTTCCTCATGGCCAACCTCACCCTCCCCTGGCACATCTTGTGCCATTCCCTCTGCTCCTGGTGTTGGTGGCCAGAGAGAAGAGATCAGCTCCTGCCCCTCCTCTTCCCCTTGGGAGGAAGTTCTAGACCACGATGAGATCTCCTCTCAGTCTCCTCTTCTCCAGGCTGAGCAAACCAAGCGACTTCAGCCTCTCCTCACGTGGCTTCCCCTCTAAACCCATCACCAATTTGATGTCCCTCCTCTGGATACTCTCTAGTAGCTTCAGATCCTTTTTATCCTGTGGTGCCCAGACTGCCCCCAGTGCTGGAGGTGAGGCCGCCCCAGTGCAGAGCAGAGCGGGACCATCCCCTCCCTTGCCCGGCTCGCAGTGCGGTGCTGGATGCCCCCAGGACAGGTTTGACCTCTTGGCTACCAGGACACACTGTTGGCTCATGTTCAACTTGCCATCGACCAGAACCCCCAGGTCCCTCTCTGCAGGGCTGCTTTCCAGCCTCTCCTTCCCCACTCTGTGTGTGTGTCCAGGGTTGCTGTGTCCCAGGTGCAAAATATTGGTAATATTAGTTCTTTGTCTCCTTAAAACAGGAGATGTTCTAAGCAAGCCTGAAATTGTTTGTAGTAGAGCCAGAGAGACCAAACGTGTCTGCTTACCGTTTTCTGTGCGTTAGTCATCTCAGACTTACTGACCAGTATACCAGAGAGAACTAACTTGGAGTTGGCTAAATGGGCAAATGGGCAGAGACCATTTGTTTTATCTTTTAGAAGTATTGCCAAACCTCCAAGCCTTAGGGCTAACTAGTACTTTATTTGCATCTTTTGGGAAGCAAATAATTCCATGATGATGGGAAGGATGTTTTGTTCTCTTAATGCTTGCACCTCTTTTGCAATAAGGTTTTTTTTCCCTTCCCTTCCCTCCCCCCCTTTTTTTTTTGTGCCTCTCTTGCAGGTTCAAAATGATTTGGAAGCAAAAGTGAACTCAGTTTCAGCATTACTTCATAAACTACAGGAGACAGACAGACAACTGCAGCGTGTGGCCGAACAGCAAACAACTGTGAAGACTCAACACGAGAAGCCCCACTGTCATGAAAGAGTCAGTGAGCTTGAAAAACAAATGAATGCTTTCATGGTGCAACGGATTCAGCATTTAGAAAAGTTGCAGGAGCAACAAATGAATATTCAGGTATCTAAGTAACAATGCAGAAGCTTTAGCTTAGTAATTTCTTCTCTATCTCAGTGTTAATGTTATAATAATTTGGATTATATCTTAGTATTAGAAAGAAAGGAAGATCCAGTGGCAGCACATGAGCTTAGAGCTTTCTGGGAAAAGTTTTATTTCTGATTCTGTCCCAGATATCCGCTCCCCTCCCAGCCATAATTTTTTGTGTCTGTGGAAAATAGATGCAAAAAATTGTGAAATGTTCTTGTTGCCACTGAGAAATTGTTTAGACCTTTGTTAATTGAATAAACTTTCATTTAATAAGTACCCAGTCAGACTAAACGTCTAAGAAGAGTTCTATAAATTGTTTCTTTGGAGAGTCTTCCATGCTTTTTTGAAAGGTAGAATAATGTCCAAGCACGTCTGTGTTCTGAGGTTGTTGTAAATTACTTTTCTCTCAAGTAACATGGCAAAATCCAATTAATATGATTACATGACAGGTATTCATGTTTAGAGTTTTTCTTGGGAAACTAACTCATCTATCAGAAATACTTTGTAATTTTGTCTCTTAGTCTCATCTCATTAGCTCTGCAGTCAACACGGGGGGCCTGCAGCAAATTCATGTACCTTCCTCCAGTCTCATGATGAAACAATCTGAGAAGCCAGAACGATTCCTTACTAACCAAGTGTCTTCATCTCAGAGGGATTTATTTCCTACTAATGGTCCACCTGCCCAAGGTGAAGAGAAATTCTTAATATCTTACTTTCAGTGTTAGTTTTTCATTAGTTTTGTTTCCATTAATATTGGATTGTAAAAATCACATCATTAACGAGTATTTAACATTTCTTCTGTGTAACTGATTTTATTGCCTAATATGTTCTGTAACATATACCACTTATTCTGAAAATGTTCCAGTTTAAATTAAAGTGAGAAATTGGTGTTTACTAACTGCTTAGTCTGGACCAAGAGAGACCTAAACTTAACCTAAAATAACTAACTCATATTATTTTTTTTTTGATCCCTTTATAATAGCACTTGTAAGTGTGAAACTTCCTTCCTGTTTACTTTTCTAACTAGTTCTGTAATGTTCTGAATTTTTGTGGAAAATTCATAATGTTGGTATGTTGTTTTTTTTTTTTTTTCTAGATTTGTTTTCCTATGAAGAAATTTGTTAAAATTTAAATAATGTGTTGTTTTTTCCCTGAAGCATATTCAAGCCAATTTCAAAGTTGTGGCACTCATACACAAAAATCTCCTCCAAAGACACCAGTTCCTCGGAGATATGCTCCAGAACCTGTGTCAAAAAATGTGAAAATCTCAAAGAAAGAAAATCCTGTAACAGAAAAGGAAAATATTCCCAAATCTACAAGTGAAGGTAACATGAGTATGACACTCCTGCCCTCCACTGGTGTGGATAGTATGGCCTGGGGATTACTTTGTGTAATTACTTTGTCCTCTTCTGTTCTGAACTGTTGGGTTGCTGGCACTTTAAATACATATATTCAGAATATTTGGAAGTATGTTTGAGAAGGATTAAATTTGTGGTTAAGTCACTTACTCTTAACTAACTAAAGACTCAATGACAGTAGAGATCTAACCGATAGCACCTGAACATGATTGCTCACTGAAATGTTTTCTTAGATGAAAAATTGAATGACCTTTCATTGTCAAGTTTAAGGAAGATTATATAGAATAATGAAAAACTTGGAATCTGCTCAATAACTTAGTCAATATCATTGGTTGAATTGATTGGTTTTTTTCCCCCCACAAAAACATACCTTCTTAGCATCTCTAGGCCATTGTAATGAAAATAGCATGTGTAATGCAAAGGAAGTAATTTTCCATTTCTCCTTTTGATCAGTTTAGTGACATGAAACTCAATTTGAAGATTTCATCAAAAAATAAAGCATCTTTTTTAGCTGGTTGTGTTTAGAATTATTTGAGGATCTAAGATCGCAGAAGAGCATTTAAAAGATCCAGCCATTGGACAAAATGCCTGTTTGTGTCTTCATCAGATTCTTCTCTGATTGCTGCTTCTGCCTCTTTTTTACAAAGCTGTCCCATATTCCTATTGTTCCCTGGGTCTGGGAATAAATGAAATGAGACAAAGGAAGAACAACTCCGTGACATAATGGAGAGAACATTTCTCTGTGACTCAGTTAATTGCCATCACAGTTTCATTCATCTGTTTTCTGACTTTGCTAACATAAAGCAGTCATAGTAAGATAGATCAGTGTGAATGATTTTGTGCTACTTGTCTTAGCTGAAGTAAATCTATATTTTAAAATCTAAAAGTTATTTTTACTATCCTTGGTGAGTATTATATAATAGTGAGATGTCTGGAAAGGAAAAGGAAGTGTTAAATATATTGAACAAATTTAACTTTATTTTTTCCCTTAGGTGAAGGGAGACTTCTTGAGCATATTCTGAATTCTCAAGAAATGCCACTGAGGCAAATGGAGTCTTCTAAGAGGGCAGCATTAAACAGTAATAAAATGAGCTGGCATTCTGAGAGAGACAGGTAAATAGACCTAACAGTCCAAAATTGAGGAAGATCTTTTGTTTGTTTTAGTAAAACTGAGAAAGGTATGTTAGATATTGATGGTGTAATAGAGTCATTGTCATGGTCCTTGAGTCTGACAAAGCTGTGCTTGAAATAAAGCCCTGGAGCACTGGTACTTCTGTGCTACTTTTGCATTTCTGTCTTCCTAAAGGTCGATGAAAGGTTATTGCTAAGGCTGGTTCATATCACATTTCTCAGAGGTCAGCAGGTGTCACTTGGAGTGCTTTTCCAACTTCTGAGTGTGTTTCTTCTATTGCAGCAGCTTGTGGAGTAGTGAAAGGAAGTCAACTATGTAGGCATTGTGTTAAAGTGGAACTGCCCTTGACAGTGAGACTCCAAGCTGCCTGCTTATGGGAACACTTTGTTGGGAAGAAGCAACACCAGCCTAACAATTTCTAAGTTCTAGAGTGGGTGAGGAAATGTTCTTAGCCATCCAGTCTGAAACATTTTCTGCAGGCAATAATTTGATGTCATAATTTCACTAAGATAATGAGAAACAGCTACATAGATGCTGTCTTATTTATGACAGTATAGACAAAAATATTAATTACTTTAAATGGAAAGGTCTCCAGAGTTTAAATATTGCTCTGTTAGATCAGAATTTTAGATGTAAAATTCTCTACTCCGCTCTTGTAAGGCCCCACCTGGAGTACTGCACCCAGTTCTGGAGCCCCCATCACAAGAGAGACCTGGAGCAGCTGGAACAAGTCCAGAGGAGGCCACCAGGATGGTCTGAGGGCTGGAGCATCTCTGCTGTGAGGACAGGCTGAGAGAGTTGGGGCTGTTCAGCCTGGAAAAGAGAAGGCTCCAGGGAGATCTTCCAGTACCTGAAGGGGGCCTACAAGAAAGCTGGGGAAGGACTTTTCACAAGGGCAGTTAATGACAAAACAGGGGGAAATGGGTTTAAGCTGAAAGAGGGGAGGTTTAGTTTAGATATTAGGAAGAAGTTCTTCACTGTGAGGGTGGTCAGACACTGGAACAGGTTGCCCAAGGAAGTTGTGGATGTCCCCTCCCTGGAAGTGTTGAAGGCCAGGCTGGATGAGGCTTTGAGCAACCTGGTCTAGTGGAAGGTGTCCCTGCTGCTGGCAGGGGGGTTGGAACTGGATGATCTTTAAGGTCCCTTCCAACCCAAACCATTCTGTGATTCTATGTAGTTTCACTGTTCAAAATGCAAGGATACAGCTCAAGGTGTTAAATGGTAAGCAAAGAAAACTCAATAACCTGTCTTTAACCTCAGGTGAACAAGCAAATTCCATTTTAGATAAAGGTTTGGTATTGTTGCACTTTAAATTCATGCTCAAAGGTGGCTCCTTTCTTGGACCACATGAAGAGCCATGAGACTTTTAATCGAGGGTGTTTCTCCTATCAGGCACACTGCTATGCGTACAGACTCATTCCCTGCTTTTGAAACCTCCTTCCAAAATTGCAGTTCAATTGAGAAAACAGTGAAAAAAGCAGATGATTTACTTCAAGACCTCGGCCAGTTGAGGAGAGAAATGCATGACATGCTAAAGGTAATGTCCATGTTGTCAGAATGACCAAGAGTTTGAATAAGGGGAATAAAAAATGTGGAGAAAAACTTAAGAGGTCTGGTATCAGTAAAAGTGTTGCCCTTGCTTCTGCCTCTGTAAAAAGACTGACAATTGTTTACAATTACTTGAAATATTGCAGCTTTTATATGTGGAAGGGCTTTGAACCTGAGTGATGTCTCGATGAGTATGCAGTGGACTAGACTGTAGAGGCTCTTACTGCCATTCTACTAAACATAAAATAGGCTAGAAAAATGGGGTTTTTATTTGTTTGTTTTAAGGTTTCAGATATTTTCAGTGCCTGTTCTCTGCTGGCTGTCTTCCTGTGATACTAGGCCTACAGAGCTGGTGTAACAGTCCTGTTTGGGAAAGAACAATGTTCTATGCAGTCACCTTCAGGGGTGACTTAAGCTATTTTCTTTCTCATTTTGCCATTTCTTTTTGTAATTAGTGCTGTTTCTAAAGAATTGCCTGATATACATCATTGTATTGTTTCTCTTGCTAACGATTTCGTACCTTTGGTACTAAAATGGTTCTGTTCTGGCAACATGTAACTTGTCTCTGGCTTTTGACAATTGAGACTTTTATCTGTTTATATCCTGGTTCCATGTGGAAATAAGGTATAATTGATCATTTAGCATTTAGCTTGTGCTGTGGTCCTCTCTGTTCTTATAAATGTAAGTGCTGGGAAAGAAGAAACACTGAATATCTGCAGGTTTGTGAATTGACTTCAACCAAAAGCTTTGGTTGTGTTGGCTTGTTTCTGTGGTTGAAGGTTTCAGCTTGCTTATTTACCTAAAAATATTTTGCATTACATGCCAGTTATTTGGTGCTGTATCTTTTTAGCAAACATAGCTTAATCTGTCATGTCTTAGAGTATAGCTGATGGATTGTTTCACAGATTTTTGTAAGATATTTGTGGATTGCATGTTTAACTGTTCTTACTGGTAAGAGAACAGATGCTGTGTGCCCCGTTTATCTTGCAAATATTTACTTATTGCTATTGCTAAAAACCTAATGGAGTAACATACCTTAGTATAGGCAACAGAACAGGGTGAGGTGGGAGAAGGAATGGCAGGTGGGAAAGACACCCTTGGCATAAATGGTTTGAAATCTCTACTTTCATATGAAAAAGGCCAATAGGAAGACAGAGATGATGATATTAGGAAGATATTAGGAAGAAGTTCTTCACTGTGAGGGTGGTCAGACACTGGAACAGGTTGCCCAAGGAGATTGTGGATGCCCCCTCCCTGGAGGTGTTGAAGGCCAGGCTGGATGAGGCTTTGAGCAACCTGGTCTAGTGGAAGGTGTCCCTGCTGATGGCAGGGGGGTTGGAACTGGATGAGCTTTAAGGTCCCTTCCAATCCAAACCATTCTGTGATTCTATGACTTCAACAAATGTGGAGTTGAGTCAGTTAGATACTTACCTATTGACTTCTCACAACTGAGAGATTTGTAGAGTTGAGAAAATAAATGCTTGGGATAAATAGCATGTAGCTTTGTCACACAAGCAAATGAAAGGCCTGAATTAACTGAGATGGGTTGAGATGGAACAGAAGGTGGTGCTCTAATCCAGAGGAAGCGTGCAGTGAGATTTAATAGTTCACAAGGAGTTCATTGTACCCGTTTAAATTGTTCAAATATCTACTCTAGATTTTACCATGACAGATGCGTCTTTAGATAAGTTTCAACAGCTCTTCTTCTGTCTTTCTAGGAAGCAAATTCATGGAAATCAGACATGAATGATCTTATTAAGGTATAACTTGAATTTTTATGTTTTTGGTTCTTTTAAATACTGTAATACTGAGGTAACACTACAGTAATTATTCCATACCTGTATTTTTTAAAAAAAAGTTGCTATTATGTACAGATTACATTACTCAAAGTAAGATTTAACTTGTTCTTTGATTTGTCTTATTCAATCTTTGTGAACTACCTTGGGGGAATAATACAAATGTCAGTCAGAGAGCTGCTGCCTCAAATCATAGAATCATAGAATAGATTGGGTTGGAAAAGACCTCCAAGATCATCAAGTCCAACCCATGATCCAACTCCAATTACTATATCATACTTTATATTACTATAAATGGACATATTGTGGACTGCTAATATAATTACCATTGCATGATCTGGTTCTAATTGGCAAATCTACATCATTTTACGTTTGAACACGTGTCTGCATGTCTTACATTTTCTGACAGATCTCACCTGCCTTCTTGAGCTAGTATTTGCCAAAAAGTTTAATTTTAAAATGAAAACCTAGATAAAATTAGTAAATAATTTGGTATATTGTCCTTTTCTCACCAGGCAAAACCAAAATCATGGGATTAGTGTGTTGATTTGTGTTTTGCTATATCCATTGTGCTTTGACAGTATGCCTGTTAGAACATACATTTTTGTTTAATTGATTTGATAAAAGAGTAGTAGCCTTAAAGACAAAACTGATTTGCCATCTGTGAGATGTTTTTTCTGCTCATTCAGTTGATGCTTTCAGAATGGATTCAAGTTGGGGTATTTTGTTTTGAGATTTCTTTTTCTTTACATACATTTATAACTTTTAATTTTTTTTTTTCTTGCTTTCTGGAAAATGAAATACTCAGGTGTGAGAATGAATGTGAGAACTATAGTTGTATGGCTCCTTGTTTCCTGTGTACTTGTGTCCCTTCTTTTTGTATTTAGCAGCTAATATATGCTTGATTTTTATTTCTATAAAAGGGAATTGCAAAGTAAAAGGCTAATAGTTGCTTCATTGTTTCTTAGGAAAAGTAAAAATCAACAGAAGGGGGAGAAGATCATGATGCTCTTGTTATATAACAATAATATTTTGTTGTTAAGAAATATTTTAACAATATTTTATTATTGTCAAAACTTAAGTATATTGCTCAATGTTTCTTGGGACAGATTGATGCCAAATGAGTGCATGTATTTACAGGACTTTGGTTTTTATTATGCATTTAATTATACTAAAATTCTGTTACATGGAGAGAGTTGCATGTGATACCTGCTTCATGTATCTAATTGACATCTTTTCACATGCTTATTTGCTTCATTATCATTGTTTCTCATACATTTCATCATTTAGCATTTGAGATCTTTTGGATGAATTTAGATTTGCTTGATTTTTAAATGTATTTGCAATGTAGTGAATGTTCTTGAGTAACTGAAGTTGATAATGGTACACATGGATGTTATTTCATATGCTGGGCCTTGATTTGATAATAGATTAATAAGAATTTTGATCAGTATGTAGAAAATTTAATTTCCAATCTCTAATTAAAAGCTAGTGGTTCTGTTTCCATTGTAGTCAAAAAACGCTCCTGTTGCATCTGATCTTCAAGTACATCATCAGCCCAGTAAGCCATCCATCCTTCAAAATGTTAAAGTGCCAAAATCTATACTGAGGGATGCTGAAAGGATTTTGAGAGGAGTTCAGAACAATAAAAAAGTTCTTGAAGAAAATTTGGAAGCTGTTATTCGTGCAAAAGATGGGGATGTCATGTATACTTTTATTAACGCCTTGGCTACAAACAGGTTAGACCCCGTTACTCAATGCTTTGTGTGACTACTCACTGTATGTGCTCACCTTTTATCACCTCACTCTCATTTTTTGTAATTCCATGCATGGAAGAACTAGTGCAGTTCACTGAAAAAAAGTATTTATTGTCTCTTCTTAGCAATCATTAGATAATTTTCTTGATTTTCAAGTATTTTTTGACCCTCCTGATGTGAATTGAATTTTCTGATAAGTACTTGTTACTTCTTGGTAAATCTGAATTCTGAGACTTATCACTTGGACAAACTGCTTTGTTGTCATGACAAGGAGGCATTTAGCATTTTGTAGACAAACTTGAGTTACTAGTAAAATTAAAGAGTAATTTCATAATCCAGAACAGAAAAGGCTTCATAAGCCTGTAAATGTTACTGAATTAATCATCCTACGGCAGATCTTTGGCTTTTGAACTTTTACTTCATTACTTGTGTTAAATACTCCTGCTTGAACCATAATGAAAGTTTTCCTGTTAAAACACACCTTAATCTCAGAAGATAACTATTCTCTTCATGTAAAGACTTTTTTCAGGAATGATACCTGCTATCATTATCTTTTAGAGGAAGTAGTAATTTTTGTCATCTGCTTTTGTCTTTTGAGTTGGAATATTTTTGTTGCCTTGTTTTTTTTCAGTTTTTGATCAAAATAGGAACTGACACTTACTTGTAGATGTTTGTAACAGTGTTAGTACATACCATTGCAGGGGGCTGGGGTTTTCAGGTGGCAGTGTGTAAGAACAGATCCAGGTCTGGGAAACTCAGACAGTGTCTGCTTAGTGCCTTTTGGAGACTGTGGAGGTACATAATCTTACTGTCTCCGGATTCTTAGTTTCTCTTTTTATAGTGTTTATAGGTCACTACTTTCCCAGGAACAAATCTGTGCAATTTAAGAAGCACTGACCTAAAATAGTTCTTTCTTCTGTTTCAGAGATGTATTGGAAGAGATTCGTATCAGAAAGACTGTGGATGACTGGATTAAGGCAATCAGTGTAGAAATCCAGGTATGGCTGGGAAAAAAAGAGTACAGGTTTTTACATTATATTTTTCCACCTTACATTGTTCTCTTATGTCAAGAGGTAAACATGATTCACTCACAACTTGGAAACAGGAGAAAACTGCTAATTATTACTAGCATGTAGTATGCTATAATAAAATATTTACCTCTATTTTAAAACTTTCTTTGCTTAATGAAAATCACTGGTCACATTTGCTGGTTAACATGAAAAACAGGCCATTTCTCAAAACTTCAAAGTTATCCAGAGACCCTTCTGAGAGCCTTGAAGATAAAATCTCCTTTTTATTATGTTTATGTTTTATCTTTAGGCTGAAATGTCAAGAAATGATTCGGAACAAGTGAAATATGATCAAAAGGTTCCATGGATCAGGAGAGCCCAAAACATCAAGGCTATGAAGACCGGTAAAGAAATTAAAGCAAAAACTCAAAAAATCCAAGGATGCTCAGCAAAGAAGCCTTTATCTGCACCTAAGCCATTGCAGAAGCAAGCAGAAGATAACACAAGCAAAGAGAAGTTTGGAACTTACTTTTCCTCTGAAAGTTTGCAGAGGAAAGAAAAAAGGGCAGATGTGAGTTCCCAAGGAGTTGGTTTCTTTTTTGGTAATGATTTCTATGCTGTAGATTGCTGTATTCATGTGGAAATTGGTTTCTATGTGTAACTGTAGTAATTTTAAATGAAAGTAACAGCCCTGTCCTGTGGATTTGTGTCGTCAGTTGTCCTTGTTTTCCTGTGCTGTGGAACCTTAAGCTAAGTGGGTATAACAATGTAGAATTCATTGTTGTGTTATGAATTTGTCTTACCCAGTACCTGCTATTTTATTTAGCTGTTGGTAAGCTTCTTGGACGTATTCTGTATGCATAAGTTTTCATATGTGTGCTTGCAATATTTACTGTTTGTTGCAGAACTTCTTACTTTTTTTCCTCTAGACTTTTGCAACACTATTGATGCGTTCAGATTTTCCAACATGAAGAATTGTAAATGACTTTTCTTGTGTGTGTGTGTGTGTGTGTGTGTATGTCAGGGACCTGGGAGTGGAAGTACAGTGGTACAAAATGAAGACTATCTGTGCCAAGTTTATGGGAAACCAATTTACCAGGGCCATCGTAGCACGCTTAAAAAAGCACCATATCTGAGATTCAACTCTCCCTCTCCCAAATCTAAACTGCAAAGACCCAAGGTGATAGAGTGTGTTAGAGGTAAGTAGTTCTTTGATGTGAACAAGGTGTTCCTTCCCAGTTTTGCTTCTAGAAATTCTTTGTATAAATGAAACTATTTAATCATAGATCAGCTGCTTTTCAGTTTAAAGCCTAAGCATCTGCAGTAGGGTGAAAAGATGCTCTTTTCAAAACACCAGTAGGCTTTCAGGTTTGCTTAGTGTGTATCTCACTTATTTTAGATTGTCAAATTCATACTTATTTCTAAATTTAATGAACATATTAGTGGTTTTTTTTTTTTTTTACATATTTCTTAAAGAACTGAATTGCTGGAAGTAACAACATAAGCACCTGAAAGCTTAGTGTGTTGAAAAACTAACACAGCTTTTGATAAAGGTTACTGAGATGTATTCTTCACGTCAGGTTTATCCAGTTGTGTCATTTAAATGATTGATTCATTTAGAGTTAAGAAATCTACTGAGATATGAAAAATAAGGAATCATGATATTTCTTTTTCCACCTCTTAATAAATGAATAGAAATATGAAAATTTAAATTGATGGGTGTGAAGATGACTTCTATTAACTTGAAAATATTGAAAGACATGGTAATTGGAAGCATTGGTTCAGTTCACTAAGTGCAGGTAACTCTTATTACTCAGGTCAGGATTAAATGTGAAGTATAACTTTTTGTGATAACTTGTTACAGTTATTTAATTGATTTATAGAGGTTATTAGTTGATTAATAATGAATTCCATTAATTAGTTTTGTAGGTGAAGTGTTAAGATCAGAAGATTCTGAGTTTTAAACCTATTAAAAATGTGTAAAAATAATAATTAAAAAGTGGAACTATATGACATCTGACATAAGATAAAGTTTATCTACACTTACCTGAATTAGTAGAAGGTAATGTTTGCTCTAGTGAAATTCATCTGTTTATTGAAAATCATATTAATGAATATGACCTTCTTGAAGGAAATAATTATAAGGTACAAAGACAAATCTTGATCAATATGGTTTATTTTCCCTGTTCTGAAATAAGTTAAATTTGTAACACACTCTAGTTTCAAATCAGTTCACGCTGTCAGTAGTGGTAATTCTTTCAAAGTACTGTCTCAAAGAGGAGTAAAAAAAAAAGGAAGAAAAAAGAAAAGTACCAGCCAACATATTTATGTGAAACAAGCAATGTGTGTGTATGTGGCACGGCTATGATATGATGTTTATTAAAGCTATGTAAAGCTGCTTGCAGTCAGGATTAAAACATAACACTGATACCCATCTTTGTGGAACTTGTATAGGAGAACAAGTGTTGTTCAAAGGCACAGTCTTTGTCCTATTTCTGTTTTAAAAACTAGTGTTTTTAAGAATAGACCAGTTCAGTGATTGCCAAGGTGCTTATGCTGGAGGTATGGAAAATGTAGGATTGTATTTGAAGTGGGTTTGCAGAAGAACTTAAGTTCCTATTTTCCTGTATTTCAATGGCCTTTTGTTCTAAATTTTCTTACAGTGGTTATGTTCTTGGAATTTGCTGGGTAACTTTTGTTGTGTTTTACAGCTGATTATCAATTTGGAATAGATTTGTCTGTTTTAACTGGATCTTTTTTATTTCCTAGTTATCTTTTCAAAACTTATTAGTTCTTAATAGAGAAAGTAAGTTTAATCTTTAATTCATCTGCCAAAAAACCTAATGTGTATTATGGGGAAATTTAGATGTCATTACTACTGTTATTTTTAATAACTAGAAATGCTTGTCATGAAGGATTAAATTTAGTCAAATAAATTTCCAAAGTGGTTGCACTTTGCTCTTTTCATTATGATTGAAGCTGTGGAGGAACTGCTCGTTCTTCCTGTTATCTGAGCAGAAAAGAGTTCAGTCAAGATACCACTTGCTTTTATCAGAAGTTGTTTTACACGTTGTAAGGAAGTGAAGAACATTGAAAGAAACCAACGAAACCTAACAGAGGTTGGAAAATCCAAGAGGAGAAAGCTGCAGTGGAGTGCAAATTAAAAAAACAAACAAACAACAAACTAAGGGCTTCTTTTTCTTCTCACTGCAGGAGAGTGAGCAGATTACATGATGAAAGATAATAATGGAGAGAAAGAGTGGGTTGAGTGTAAGAGGTAGTTAAAGAGATACTGGGCACACTCAAGTTAATAGAATGAGCATCAAAAATATGGGGAAATATTATTACCTCTATGCTTCTTGCACTTAGGCTGTTGTTACCCGTGCAGGGAGAATATACTTGGTGCCATCTTAACTGTCATGTTTTAAAAACGATGCCTGAGTTTTTATTATAACTATCAAAATAATATATTCTGTATGAAATAGATTAACCTGAGAAGGCAGTTACTTGATGAGATCATGTTTTTTAGGCCATTAAAATGTATGGTTTAAAACATATATATGTCTTTGAAGACAAGCACTGCTGTTTTGTTTTGGTTTTGACATTATGATGCCACAGTGGCAAATCCTTAAAGTAGTACAAAAATCTATTGTTAAGCTTAGAGTAGTCTTTATGTTATTTCCTGGCACTTTCTTACCAGTGTTCTGGAGCCCAGTTGTAATCCATGAAGAAAAAATGTTATTGGTGGAATGTATTTGCAATTCTCAAAACCTTCCTGGAAAATTTGGGTTATAAAATTCTAGAAGACTTTATTTTAGGAAGGTAAGAACTTAGTATATGAAAACTGCTAGTCTTGTTGCTTATATTTTTTATTTGACCTCTTTTGAACCACTTCTTTGTGAATAATGCCAGGATAGTCATTTGAAGGACCAGCATGATATATCACTCTTTTAGCCTACTGTCTGTGCTACACACTTTTAATTTACATTATTCTGTACAGATTTTTTTTTAATAAAATGTGTACTAGTAAGCACTTAGTGTAGCAATTTCAATGAAACAGTGACCTCTAAGAGTTGGATTGAGAACAGACACTTCTTTAAAAATATTTAATCAGCAGTTCTGCTTTTGCTGAGTCCTAAATGATATTTTTCTTCTATATTTATTGGGGTCTTGTCCTTTATAGAAGGTCACAACCTTTCCAGGGAGGCCAATTTCATCATTCCAGAAACAATGCCTTGTAAAGAAGCAGAACAAATGCCCACCCCCAATCTAATTATAAGAAGTAGGTTATTTGATACTAACTGTTTTCTGCCATTAACGTGTTTCATTCAGTAGTGTCAGTGAAATGTAAAGGTACAGGTTGTGTGCAGTTGCAATAAGTTGCTCCTGTGCTTTAGCTTGTTTTCTGTTGGAGGCAAATAGAAATGAAAGAGCAAAAGGTGTAGTGGATCCCTGCTGCATTCAGTCTTCCAGAACTCCTGCATGTGACAAATAGAGTTTAAAAGCTATTTGCTTGAAAACAGAGTGAACTCTGGATAGCCTTTACCCAAAGTGATTCTCTTCCAAGTCATTGAGTCATGCTACAGCAGTACAGCAACACGTGTGTTTGCAATAGTAAAGCTGCCATAAAATTTGTTTCTCCATTTCACATCAGACTGCAGTTACAGAAGGTTATGTTTTTGTCTCTATCTTGACAGTAAGTAAAATAAGACACTTTCTTGTATTTTTATCTAAGGGAAGAAAGGAAGAATACAGAATTTTTTTGCATGTCACTTACAAGCATAGCACTCCAATTAATATGTGTCCTATTTCCAAGTTTTCTGGTTTGAATGGCTTTAGACTGAAGTCACCCTTTGATGCTGGCATTACTTGTCTTTGACTCTTCTTATAAGACAGTCAGTCAAGCTGCTTAATTTTTTGTGCTTTCCTACATCTTTCCAATAAAATGGAAAAGTAATACTGTGTTTTACATGGGTCTCATGAAGACAAAATAGTTAAGTGGTTTTGAGGGCTGCTATTCTGAGAGATGCTGATATGGCAGGAAAGTATAAATAATAAAATTAGAAACAGATCCTTACCCCTCTATAGTAGGGGTGTAAATGAAAGGAAACAAAGTTGAATAATCACTTTAAAGCACCAGGTTCTTAAAAAAAAAAAAAAAAAAAAGAAAGCAATGTTTCTTGTGTTAGGCATGGTTAGTTCTTTTTTTCATGTATCTGCACCGAGATTCCCTTCCTGGCCTCGATGTACCAGGTGATAAAGGCTTAAAAATTATTGGAAGTCGTTGGCCTTGGGTTTGATTGGCTGGAAAATCCAGAGTTATTAAATGACTCTATTTTGTTAGAGCAGTCCACTGAGTTTGTTTTAAATTAGTGTTAGAATAAGGATGTTTATTTAAGACTGAAATGGCCATCTGGAGAGTCTCTTTTCAGTCGTTTTATAACTTTCTCAACCATTTTCTTTGCAAATAAACTGTAGTGACTAATGCTTAGTTTCTTCTGGAAAGTTAGGGAAAAAATGCAACTAACACTTCTATGAGTAAGAGAGCATTTCTAAAAAAAAAAAAGTTGGAATTGTTTTTTTGCATAATTTAAACTGATAAATATATGTAAAACCACCAGTTTTTTTAAAGTTAAGTTTAATTAAATGTCTAGTTGCTGCCCAGTGCAAATAAACTCTTCAGGGGGAAATGAAAAGTTGAAAGCAATTAAAATGAGGTGCTGTGTGTATACAGTACTTAATCATTCTTACTGTGAGAACCTTGTTTTTACAAGTTGGCGGTATTACAGATAGGTTGCCAATTTCTGCTTTTCCTCAAAAGTTCAAGGCCAGGGGGGACTGTTAGATCATGTGGTATGGCCTCTTCTAAATCACAAGCCACTGAACTGTATCTATTTATGTTACTGAGTCCAGTAATTTGTCTTTGACTAAGGAGCAGTTTTTCTGGCTAACTTATGCTTTGCACAAAGGCACGTGCTCGTCATTTAAAGACGTTAGAAATTCTGCCCTTAATTACTTCATCCTGTGGCTAGATACCTTGTGGTTCAAAAATAAATGGGACACTTCAGATTTAGTATCTGATTTATAGTAGGGCTTTGGCTTCAGTTTGCTGCTACTTCAGTTTCCAGGTGATTTTCCTTAAAAAAATGAAAAAGGTCTTTTAATGTCCAGTCTATTTTAATATTTACAGAATTGGAACTGAATGCAGTATTATCATATATGGAAGTCTTCTCCTGTTCCACCTCACTGCTGAGACATCTAAGGATTACATTTATCCCTTTAACCACAGCATTGTGTTGTGATTTCTCATTGCATTCCTCATCCAACATGACCTTAAAGCCTTTTTCACAGACACTTTTTTGACCTGTATTTTCGTATTGAAGAGTTATGACTTGTCATTCTTGTTTCTAGACTTATAACCCATAATTTGTGTGTACAAAAATACCACTTCTTGGGTGAATTGCCATACTTTCTTGTCTGCATTTGTTAAAAGTCACATTATCAATCTTTATTATCCCTAAATTTTATGATGGTTGACTTTTATTCTTCAGTTAATTAGGAAGCTATTAAATGTGAACAGACCTAAGAAGTGCTTGTTGCTATGTGTTAACGGGCTGTTAGTACAGGAAGAGGGATGGTTAGAAACAATAGAGGAGTAAGATGATGTTTTTTGGCTGTATTGAGGATACAGAGTTGGTTACCAATGTGATTCTTTGCAGGTTCATTTTCCTAACACCTACAAAACAGCAGCAGAAATACTTCTGTTTGATTCACAATTGTTGACTCTTTTCTGAGGGATGTTTTAGGCAGTTATCCATTTAGATTAAAGTTAATTTCTTTAATAAGAACCATTGTTTGCAACGAATATAGGTTGATTAAGACCTTGCATGACTGTAGAGTGAGAAATGCAACATTGCAATGAACTTTCTCCTCTGCTATATACTTAGGCATTGTTACATACAAATTACTTCTGGTTGGCTTTTTAACAATACATTTTCAAAATTGAACCAAAAAATCAGTGCTTCCTCAATATTGCGAGTCAAGACTTAGGGGTGTTAGTTGTGACTTTATTTTCCTGCAACAGTGAGTTGTTAAACCAGGAATTTCTGGATTTTACCTGTTCCTTTGAGTACCTGTGAATCTTGTGGCTGGAGACTTAATTGCATGTTTATCAAATTGAGGCAGTTACTCAGGTGAACAAGAGATCAGTTTGGCTGCGTTCTAAATCCTGTCTGGTTTTTGTGCCAGGCTTGCACGCTGTTCTAATGCTGTATTTCAGACCTAAATCATGTTTTCTTTCTTTCCTGCTAAATCACACATTTCATTCCAACCTACTACCATCCTTGTGTCCTCTTCTTCACATTTCTGTGCCTTTATTTGCTAGGCTCAGATGTTCAAAAATTGTAATTGTAGTTCCTTCATTGCTGTCAATACTGTGACATCTAACAGCACTTTTAGATTCCACCCTTCCTATCTCCCTCCCTTGCTCCCTCCATCCCTCAGCAAAAATTTATAACTCTTTCAGTTGAAGGGCTTAAATTAGTAGTGTGTGATATTATTCTGTTTGTACATGTATTGATGATGCCTGTTTTATCTGCTCTTGTTTCAGGTACAAAGGTAAAGTCAGCAAGAACACAGACTTCTCGCACACAGAAGATAGTGACCAGCCCTAAGAAGCACCATCCTTTATATGCACTTACTGAAGAAAATCAGTATCTCTTTAGTCCAAGCCGAGATGTACCTGTGGTCTGTGGTCCACTTGAAGGTCACCTAATTCCTATGGCTATTCCACTAGGTAGGAGCAAACAGCCTGTAGAAGGGATGTGTGGAGGTTAATTACTGCTCCTTATGGAAATACAACTTACATCTTGTTAAGGCAGTGACTTGCCCTGGCACCTAAGATTTGCAGCTGCCCTTCTCATGAGAAATCTACCTGAAGGAACAGTGTAAAATGTTCTGATTCTCTTTATTCTTCATGCTGAATGTCTGGCAGTACCCTGACAGAGCAATTACTTCTTTGGCTGTGCATACCTTCTTTGGTACACTTTACATTTCTAAGGTTCTTTTGTTCTAGCTTTAAGTTTAGTATTCATATATGAATTCTTGGCCCTTGGATCAACATTTATGATAACTTTAGCCCAAAAATTTCAGTAGGATTGTGTCAAACACACTAAATTCATTGTCATAGCTTCTGTATTTTTGAACCTTCAATAGAACCCTTATATAGGCCTTGTTTTGTAAAGGGTTAGTATTATATTGGCATTTAAATAAGATAATTGTTTTTAAAAAGGATATCTCAAACAAAAATTTGTGGGATGCTGTACTAAGTGTGATAATATTTTGAATATGGTTAAGAAAATATGAGGTGGGGGAAGCATGGTATGTAATTTTTGAATGGTAAACACAATGAAGTTATTCTCATTTTCATCAGTAGGTGTCACAGTAATCAAGAAAAGTGAATAATGTAAAAAAAATGGCAGTGTTGAGTTTACAGTTTCTGCTGGGAAAGCCTTAAAATTACCCAGTGAAGCACTATTTTTAGCTGATGTTAATAGGGGACTTTTTAATTGGTCTTTAATTGCGCAGTCTGTCTCGTGAAACACTGACAGCTAGAGTTTAATTTTAATTAATTATTAATTTACTGACTTCAGAGACTTTATATATATATATATAT